TGAGTTACCTGGCCCTGGGGAGCTGTGCCACCAGCATTGTTCATCTTGAAATGTTCACCCACAGGGCCAGGATGGGTCTGTAGCTGTTGCATCAGTCAGAGTTTATCGCAGTGCATGGGTAGGGGACAGCTGGCACCTACCTAAGGTTTGCCCTTTTTCTATAAGCCGGTAAAATTACGACGGGCTTTCTGGTGTTTTTGTGGCTCCTGGGACCTTTCTGCTTCTGGACATGCCGTGCTGTGGTCAGCCTGGCCTTGAACCCTACGCAGAGCCCCCTCCCACAGTTTGTCCCTCCCGGCAGCCCGGGCACCATCGTTCTGTTTGCGGTGGGGACTTTGCCCTGCGTGCAAGACTCTCCATTTTCTCTCTGTTTATTTTACCACATTTCTTTGTGTAGCTTTGGTCCCTGAGAGGCACTTGCGGGTGGCTTTTTAATTTAAGCCTGATTTTTAGATGGGTTGAACGATGGAAGGGAAATGCATTTTTCTGCAGGAAAGCAGTATTGCCTGCAGTAGACAGCGTATATTTACTTGTAGCGGTAGATATGAAAAGTTAGATCCCCACTCTTATTTGAAGCAGTTCTTCAGGGGTGACTCAGTCCTGCAAAAAAGCACCAACAGTTGAGCGGTTGCCTGAGTGACCTACCGCACCATAATGTCATTTGCTGACATCAAAACTGTGGCGTGATATTAATAATGCGCTTTTTCCCCCCCCTGTGCTGGGGATCTGGTTTGGATCCTCTTTATGTGCTTTGCTTTCTCGGAATATTTCAGATCTTCCTATAAACAATCTGTGAGTCCAGAAGGTCTGAACTGATGCCCAGGGTTCATTTTGAGTGAGTGGAGCTCGCTCTTCTGACGCACGGCTAGACCCTGCAGCGTGTGGAAGCGTTGAAGGCTGGTTCAGGATAGCCGTTTGCAGGTTTTAGTGTTGCCATTTAGTGAGAGATGTGTGGGTTGGTGCTTTCTTCTTGTCTGCTCTGTTGTGGGTTGGTTTTGCTTACCAACAAATGTCCTCCAGTAAAAACCATAATGAAAACCAGCTCTAACGATGCTTTCTGCAAGTACAGCTCGCTCCGGGTCAAGAGAAAAACAAGTTGTATGGATTAAAAGCACCTTGGACTAGGCAGTGGCTGCGGCAGTTGTGCCTTCACCCACACGAGGAAGCAACAGGGCTTTAGAGCAAGCAGGCTCTTGGCATACACCGAGTAGGATGGGGCAACCTTCACAAACCAGAGCCCTGAGATCAGTTTTGGCTGGGTTTGCTATCATTTTTTTTTTTTCATTCTGCTGTGTACAGGCACGGGGAGTTTGCTGGGACCTGGGAATAGGTGTGTCGGAATATACCCTGTGAGTGGGAGAAGTGGGGTTTGAAGTCATTTGGGGGTTTGAGAGTGGGTCTGAAGTCATCTGTCGCTCTCTGAGCTGCACGAGGGGTTGAGGACGTGCGCCGCGACAAACCTCGTGGTTTTTGTGAACTCCCGCATCGTCCAGGCAGAAAAGCCTCTGGGGAGCAAATGCTTAGTTTCAGAACTGGAATTCCCAAGCAGAGATGACCTTGAATTTGAAAATACCCCTTTTGTGCCACAGGTCTGTGGCATCCTCCCTGGCTCAGGAAGGCGGCCTGTGTGCGGTGGTGCCAAGCAATACGTTCCCATCCGCAGGCCACCTCCAGAGATGGGCTGTGCAAGGAGGTTTTCTTTGTTCTGGAAATCCATGGGAGAGGTGCCCGTGCTCGCAGAGGGCTTTTTCCTTTTTTTTTTTCTTTTTTTTTTTTTTCTTTTTTCTTTTTTTACTCCTGAATTTGGAAATTGCCTTTCCTCCCTCTTCTGTTTGTGATGTTTTCTTCTCAGCTCCTTGTTTGTGCTTCTTGCAAGCTAAATAACAAGCTGTCTGTGTACGTGTGTATGAATTGGTTCCTGTCCAAGCTTTGGGGGTCATGAAGGGACAAGGGCGTTTAGTGTTTAGGTTTCTGTTTAGTGGCACAAAGACAACATCGAAGTTGACAGAGCCCTTAAATTTGCCCCCAGTATTCCCTTCCCTGTCGCTTCTTACCCGGCGCTGTCCCTTTTGTGAGTGTTTGCAGAGTTTGTAAGTGGCCCCTGCTATTCCCTCTCAGTATTTCACTGAGGAAAAGATGCTGAAAAGGGACTGATGCGAATTGAATTTGTAGCTGTGGTCAACAGCTGCTGCGGTGGAAAAGGAAGAGGGTTATGGTGCTGCCTTCCCAAGCGCTCATCCTTCCACTTGGAGGTTGGTCGGGCGTAAGTTCCTTTTGTTCTTGTCACCTTGTTCCTTGTGGGAGCCCAGTGCCTCGGACGCTGGAAGATTCACAGCCCCAGCCCCTCTGCTCTCCTCCTGACACCGACAACCTGCACAGAGCTCTGCTCCATTCTCAGCATCACACGGGCCTGGCCCCAGCTGAGGTGCAGCATCCCAGGACAGCCGGTATTTACATGGGATCTTTGAGGGACAGGGGGAAGTGTTGGGGGGTGTGGTTCCTGTTGTCAGGGCAGCCTTTGACTGCCCCTGGGGTAGATGCTGCTGTCACACTGACCAGGGTATCCCCAGAACTGGCTCCCGGGGACGGGTATGTGCTTACAAGAGCTCTCATCCCACTGTTTCACCGGAGATGTTTCCTCAATTTTTTTCCTACTATGTTCTGGCTAGCGATGCTGTGTTGGTTTTATTGCCATTAGGCATTCAGTGGAAACATTATGTGTGGCCTCTGGCAGCCTTGTGTTGTCCCTGAGCTCCATTAAGCTCCATTAGAGGATTCATTTCTATGCCAGTGGCAGTTTTGCGGCACGGTTAAGTGCTGGCCCTACAGACAGCGGATTTATGAAAGGGTGTCACTCCTCTGATGTCAGGAATACAAGGCTTGGAAACACTGGGATTCCTGTTTACCATCTGTTTCCATGGCCCTTCCCTAATATTCCTCTCCTCCTCCAGAATTCAAGGATCTTTAATCAAAACTGTTTGGCTTGTGGTGAGAGGGAGGAAATCCCAAATTGAGGAGGAGATGGTGACATTTCTTGACCTTTTCTATGTGTATCTCATCGACAAACACACTCTAATGAGCGTGCGTGTGCTTATGTTTGTAGGTTTAGTCTCTGGGTGTATTTCCTAACGCAGGCACTCGCCGAGATGCTAGGTTACACATTTCTTTGCAACCGTCGAGATAAACTTGCAATCCCTTTGGGGGGACAGTGTGTTAGCGAACCTGATCCAAAGACAGCTGGATGCAAGAAACGAGCTTACTAAATGTTTCCAGACATGCTCCTCTTGAGAACCCACGTTTTGCTTTGCTTGGAAAACTCAGTGTTGCAGTCTTGAGCGGTTTGGTTCAGAGGGGATGCTGCAGACCTGTGCGCCTGTGCAGGAACTCTCGCAGCATCGTCCTTGCTCTAAAGGGAGTGTGCAGCCTGTTCCCTCGCAGTTGGTGCTGCCCAGAAATACTCAACAATCTGGCTTTCTTATCATACGGCGTTAGCCGTGGCTCATCTTCTCCCCTTTGCTCGTTACAGCTGGCCCATGCCGAAATGTCTGCTGAAGCATGAGCTAACGCCGAGCAGTGCTTTCAGACCCAAGTGACTCTCAGTTTGGGGTGCTCTTTGTGTGACTGGTGAGATTACTCAAAAGAGCCTGGCATTTAGAAAGTGGATTTTCAGTGGCTTCTGAAAAATGGAGCCGTAAAACTAGTGCCACATGGGAAATCATTATCTAGTATGCATATTTAGTACGCATTAAAGCCTGGGGAAACACCAGCTCTTGCGATTCCATCAAGAAAACTTGATCAAGACTGATAGCATCAGAAATGAGGTCAGTAGATGGCTTGATGACACTTAAAGTACAAAGATTGTGTTAAAGTAGCATATAATATGATGAAACATTTTTCCCCTTAGGGTGAACTGTCTCTCCCTTCCCTACTATGTCCCGATACACACGTACACCCACTGCACTGCCGCTTTCCAGCAGCGTGGCCTTTGCTGCTGCTTCCCGGGCTGTGCACTGGTCCCGTGCAGAGAACTTTCCTTTTGACACAGCAGTTGTGTGGTTGGGGTCATTTTCCTCTGTGCTCTCGGGAAAGGTGGCTGCGGCACCACAGCTTGAGCCGTGACTAACTAGAGTCAAGAGGCAGCTGGTTCACCTTGCGTTGAAGAGTCAAAGCTGCCGTAGCTGGGGTTGGAGCAGACGACTTCTCTTCTGTGGGTTGGGCAAAGAGGGAGATCCTGGAGCGTGCACTTGCTGTTGTGGTGGCATCAGTGCTTAAGAAATCCTCTCGTGTCATCGCTGCTGCGGTGTGTTGCAGCCCAGAAGGTGCCTTTCCTTCCCAGACATCTCAAAGGAAAGCCTTTCTTCTCTCCAGCTCTGAGCATCCCCTCTTCGTAACAGACTTCAACTGGGAGAGACTGGAGGCCTTTGGTTCTTGCTGGGGAGAACAAGAAGTTTAGTGCCCTTGATATTGGAGCTTTTTCTGTTTTTTTTTTCTGTCCTGAAGCATGCCTGGAAACCCTTAAAGAAATGCCTTAAGTGTCCTCAGGGATGCAGGTCCTGTCTTGGGCCCGGTCCATTTGCCAGCAACGTGACAGCTCAGAGGGTGTGAGCCCAGTAGGTGCTGGGTGGGAAGGAGCCGGCCAGGATCAGACCTGGAGCCAGAAAAGTCAAAACTATTTTCTCAGCCAGTGGTTTCCTCCAGAGAGGGAATCTCCTGTCTGTGCTGCAGAAAGTGTGCAGGGCTCTTGTTTTTGCCCGATCTGAGGGAGAGGAGGACAAAGTCCTTTGGGAAAGAGCCCTTGATGCGTGCCTGAGAAGATGTTCTCCACGGTGACATCTGGGTTTTCTGCGACGTGGTGGGGAGGAAGGTGGGTGAGCTGCTGCCTGGGGCTCTGTGCCTGCCTCAGGCAGGACGGTAGCATCTGCCCCTGGGGCAGCGGGGAAGGGAGGCAGGGCAGGCTCAGGCTAACGGCTGTTTTCACATGTCACATTTGCACTTTGCAGGTGGTTTCATCCCAACATCAGCGGAATTGAGGCGGAGAAGCTGCTCCTGACCAGGGGTGTCCATGGCAGCTTTCTGGCTCGTCCCAGTAAGAGCAACCCAGGAGATTTCACTCTCTCCGTCAGGTAAGCAGGCAGCAGCAGACAGGGACTGGAGGAAGGGGCTGCCTCGACCTCCCCAGCACACCCTGCTCTTATGAACGGATGTGCAAGGGGAGAGGTGCTGCACAGAGGTGACCCCTCTGTGGTACCACTTGAAGTAAAAAGGTCACTCGCTGAACTCTGCCCGTCGCTGCAGAGGCTGTGCCGAAGCCACACGCTGCTTCCTGCCCCACCCCGGGTCTGTTCATCCCTGTGGGTTGCACGTTCTCCTGTTCCCAGAGCCATTGCTGCTGGAGGAGGGAAGATAACGAGCCCACTTATTTTCTGGGGAGAGTATGTTCAGTCCCAGCAGGCATGAATCAGCTCGCTTCAATTTTTAAAGGAACTCGGTGTTGCTGCCTTTGGGAGAGACTTGTTTTCTGTGACTCTGAGGGGTCCCAGGAGCAACCTCCATCGGAGAGTGAGCCTCACAGCGGCTGCATTCCAAGACAATACCATGCACGTCACCTTTAAAGTGCTTTTTTTGTTCTTTGGGACCAAGGCAATTGCAGAAAGGGAAGCTGCAGTGTTGCTGATGGGCTTTGTGAACGTAGCCCCTCGCAATGCGGTGGAGCAGATGCACTGGGTCGAACTCTCTGAAGGTGAGCTAAAGGGAAAATGTAACGTGGACCCAATGAACCACTGAGATAAATGGAGCAAGTTGTGGGTTCAAGGCATGAACCATCCATGAGAACCATCCATGAGGACCATCCGGCTGGTGCCTTGCAGGGAAACAGCTCAGCGGATAACACAGGCCTCTTTTTATTTTTTTTTTGGGTGGTGGCTTCTGTTTTATTTAAACAACCTTCATTTTGTTTAGGAAATTCCAGTAAGTTTATAAATCCTTTGACCAACACTGTGTTTAGAGAAACGTTGTGCAAATGGCAGAATGGACAGAGCGTTCCTGCCTGGCAGGGCACAGACATCTATCAGGACGTGAGCAACACCCGCACGCTTTGAGCCTCAGCCCCTGCCCGTACTCTGTCCCCCCACAGCCGGGTGCTGTGGGAGCTGCTGGCAGGTCGGAGCAGCGTGGCAAAGCTGACTGGCTCCGGTGACACTTTACCCTCTCCTTGTTGCCTTCACCACTCCGATGAAACCTGCCTTGGCCTTATTTTTTAACCCCCTTGCAGTTGTCGCCAGCCTCGAACCTGCGCTCCTCTCTGCCAAGCGCAGTCGTTCAGTTTGGCAAGAGGGAGGGTTTGCAGCTGCCTTATTTTTTTAAATGCTTCCTTTTGGGTTGGGAAATACATCCCAGCAGTCAGACAGACCCTTTGCCTCTCAGATGGCGCTGACCCACCACGGCTTCTCACACGATGGGGCAAACCCAGCAGAAGGGAAAAAGTCCAGCTTCTCCCGCGCGTTGGCTGGGTGGGGAGCGCGGGGAGCTGACTTCGCTAGCTCCCCAGTAATCTTGCAATCAGAAGTGGCTGTGAGTTAATGAGAGAGGCAGGAAGTGCTTCTAATTAGGGTGGAAAATAAACTCAGTCACAGCGAGCTGCCTTGAGCAAGCTGTGACAGCAAGGGAATATGTGTAAAACGGG